ACATCCCTAAAAAGGTTAAAGAATAGAGATCATACAATGTCTGCTTGGACTACAATGGAAGTAAAGTAGAAATCAATAACAGAAAGATAACTGGAAAATCTCAAAATACTTGGAGACAAAAGCATACTTTCAAATAATACATAAGACAAAGAAGAAATTTGAGAGAAATTTTAAAATATTTTGAACTAAAGGAAAATGAGAATGCAACTTATTGGGATGTAGCAAAAGCAGTGTTTAGAGGGAAATTTATAGCATTGAATGCATCTATTAGAAAAGAAGAAAGATCTATTATAAATAATTTAAACTTCCACCTTAGGAAACTAAAAAAAGAAGTGCAAATCCAATCCAAATCAGGAAAAAAAAATAATGAAAAGGAGAGCAGAAATCAATAGAGAAAATCAATAAAACTGCTGGGCACAGTGGCTCACGCCTGTAATCCTAGCACTCTGGGAGGCTAAGGCAGGTGGATTGCTTGAGCTCACGAGTTCAAGACCAGCCTGAGCAAGAGCAAGACCCGTCTCTAAAAAATAGCTGAGTATTGTGGTGGGCACCTATAGTCCCAGCTACTTGGGAAGCTGAGGTAAGTGAATCGCTTGAGCCCAGGAGTTTGAGGTTGCTGTAAGTTATGGTGACAGGGCACTTTACCCAGGAGGAAAAAGCAAAACTCTGTCTCAAAAAAAAAAAAATCAATAAAACTAAAAGCTAGTTCTTTGAAATAAAAGCAGCATGCCTCTCCTTTTCATTATTTCTTTTTATTCCTGCTTTGGATTGGATTTGCTCTTCTTTAAAGTATTATTAAAAAGTAATAAGGGAATACTATGAACAAGTCTGTACCCACAAATTTGATAGCCTATACCTACATCTGTTAAAGAAATTGAGTCAATATTAAAAACCTTCCAAAACAGAAAGCACTAGGCTGAAATCAGCTCACTGGTAAATTATAACAGACATTCATGGAAGAAACAATACTAATTCTCTACAATCTGTTTCGGAATATAAAAGCAGAGGGAATACTTTCTAACTCATTCTATGGGGCTAGTATTATCCTAACACCAAAACCAGACAAAGATGTTAGAAGAGAAGAAAACAACAGACCAAACATCTCTCATGAATATAGATGCAAAAATCCTTAACAAGGCTCAGCGCCTGTAGCACAGTGGTTACAGTGCCAGCCACCTACACCAAAGTTGGAGGGTTCAAACCCAGCGTGGGCCAGCTAAACAACAATGACAACTGCAACAAAAAATAGACAGGCATTGTGGCGGGTGCCTGTAGTCCCAGCTACTCGGGAGGTAGAGGCAAGAGAATCACTTGAGCCCAAGAGTTTGAGGTTGCTGTGAGCTGTGATGTCACAGCACTCTACCAAGGGTGACATAGTAAGACTCTGTCTCAAAAAAAAAAATCCTTAACAAAATATTAGAAAGTTGAACTCAACAATATATAAAAAGAATTATACACAACAATCAGGTGGAATTTATCCCAAGCATATAATGCTGGTTTAATGTTCAAAAATCCCACAAGATTTCTGAATGTCCTTGCATAATTATTTAAAATCATTTGAGTCTAGAATCTGCCTTTGTTTTGAATATATTCATAAAGTATTTCTGTGCAGGTTTGACAGATGCTGAATTATAGAGGAAGGCAATTACTATGTACATCAAAGCAAGATTGCACTTTGTTTTGTTGACATTTTTATCAAAAGGTATTCACCTTTTGGGAAATCACATCCTGATAGCAATGCCCCACTCATGGGATTTGAGCTCCAGTACCATGCTCCTTTAGTTGTCTGCTGACACACAGAAGGTTAAAGACTCAAACACACTCAGCATCAAATAATAAATGAATGGAGATGAGTGAAATACAGGATCGCACTAAATATTATTCAGTAGAATAGTTAAAAGATATTTCAATTATTTTAAATAGGATAATAAAAATAAATCTATGGAGAAAAGAACATGTTGAAATTATTTATTATTGTTTGTGTTGCCCAGGGTTAGTGTTTGTTTGTTTGTTTGAGAGACAGGGTCTCACTATGTTGCCTAGGCTGTGGCACAGTGGCTATTCCCAGGTCCCAGGTACCATCATCATAGTCTACAGCCTCCAACTCTTAGGCTCAAGCAATTCTCCTGCCTCAGCCTCCCAAGTAACTAGGACTATAAGGTGCTTGCCACCATGCCCAGCTACATTTTTTACTTTTTGTAGAGATGAGGCCTTGCTACTCATATGCTGGCCAGGCTGGTCTTGAACTCGTGGCTTCAAGTGATTCTTCTGCCTTGGCCTCCTAAATAGCTGGGACGACAAATCCACACCACCATGCCCAGCCTTCACTCTTATGCTGTCATTATCCCCAGAAGTCTAGCTTTGTGTAATATTGTTTCATTTTTCCATCCATACTCTAGTCCTTGTAACTTGCCACAGGATGTGGTCTCCATGGTTATCCCAGTAATTTAACATACCCTCACATCCACAGAGAACCCATGTAACAACCATAGAGGGGGTATCTGAATTTCTTTGTAAACCTATGATAGCGGACATCATTCACTCATTGCCCCCTACATGGGGACTTTCTGAAACACTTATCTCAGAAATTTAGGGCAGGAAAAGCTGATTTTTCTTGATGGAGCAGTATCAGTTCTGAGTTTAAGAACTATGAATAGCCTTCTTAGCAGTATGTACACCAAGTCCAATTTCTATGGAGTGGTAAATACATTGCAATCATTTGATGACATTTGATGCTTATTTATTCTTTTAGGTTTTGTTTATTTTATAAAGGTATTTTCATGGAATTAAAATAAAAGAATTATAAAATGACTGTGTGGCCCCCACTGCCATGGCTGCTATGAAGTTCAGGATTTCTTTTCAGAATTTTTCTCCTCTTCTGCTTTAATTCTTGGTTCCAAACTCCTGCCCATATTAATTTTCCTGAGTATTAAATTATCTGCATGCATCTCCATGAATGGATTCCTTAAGGCACACACACACACACAAAAAAAACATATCCCTGTGGCCACATGTCTTCTCCACCTGCCCCACTCTTTGATCTTGGCTGGTGAGAAGAATGCTGCACAGGGAGGGTTGAGTGTTCTGGCTTTCATGTGCCCTTTATTCAGTTCTCTGTACAAATGTAACCTCCTCAGAGGGGCCTTCCCTGACCTTCATACCTAAAATAGCCCTCCTTCCTTTATCCAGCCTCTCTTTCCCCTTATTCTACTGCTTATTTCTTCACAGGGTCACTACTACACATTTATTTATTTAGTGGGCATCTTCCTCCTCCTCAGACTCCCAGTTCTCTGAGATCATAGACAGTCTATTTTGTTCACAGCCGCATCCCTAATAGACAAATGGATGCCTGGCACACAGTAAGTTCAATAGTCATAAATGAAGGAATCATTCAGTGAATCAGTAAAATCATTGCTGCCTAATGATCTAGAGAGCTACTGATATTAGTTTACTGCCTTCTCCAGTTTACAGGAATGTACAGAAAGCTACACATTTCCTTCAATCTTGCTTTTGATGTGATAACCTTGGGCTATGGCTAGTGTTCTTATTAACTATGACCCATACCTAACCACCTCCAACCTCAGATCTCCAAAATGACCAAAGCCCAAACACTGGAGAGGTTTCCCAGCGCCTCGGTAGCCTAGGACTAGATCCCAGGTTAGAGTGCCCACTTGGGAAATAATTTCCCATTCAGGATAAAAGGAAGTGAGCAAGGGTTGGGTCTGCTGCCCACTTTGGGTTCCCTCTGCATGACTTGCCCAGTAACTGTTACTATTCATCATTTCTTCCTTCTAGAAAGAACTCCATTCAATAGCCACATAGACACCCTTGGTAAAATCTGCAGAAGGGTTCCTCTTAAATGTTCAAAAAGTAGTTTTTAAATTGCAGAAGATAACAAAATACTTCAAAGATCAGATATATAGACTCTTAGAAGCACCTTTTTTTCACACAGTAGACACGTCTAAGGGTTGATGGGGCCTAGTTCATATGCCACAAAATCTGATCACAGGGAATGTATATGCTGCTTCCAGAAGCTGTAGAAGTGAGATGCAGGTCTTCCTAGTCAGGCCCTATTCCTTTCACCCAAACTTAGATAAATAAGTAAGCCTTCTGGAGGAGGAAAATTTCAATCCACATCTAACTATCCTTCTTTTTCCACAAGTTTTGGAAGTCGGTCAGTCTCTTCCTTGTGAACCAAGATTTTCTGGGTATATAAATCCTCATTTTTTTTTGAGACAGAGTCTTACTCTGTCACCCTGGGTAGAGTACTGTGACATCATAGCTCACAGCAACCTCAAACTCTTGAGCTCTAGTGATCCTCTTGCCTCAGCCTCCCAATTAGCTGGGATTACAGGCGTTTGCCACAATGCCCAGCTATTTTTAGAGAAGGAGTCTCACTCTTGCTCAGGCTGGTCTTGAACTCCTGAGCTCAAGTGATCCACCAGTCTCAACCTCCTAGAGTGCTAGGATTACAGGCATAAGCCACGGTACCCAGCCATAAATCCTCATTATTTTAACACACTGCATATAAATTCAACTAATTAGGGCTGTTCTAAGTCACTGGAGTCAGCATAACATCACCTTAAATGCTGTCGGTCACACAAAGGAAATAATGAACTTGCTTGCCCTTAATCATCCTGACCCCCCTTAGTTCTTCAGGATTCAAAATCAGAATAATATTGCTTTCCTAACCCTCCAGAAAATTTTAGAAACATAAACTGGATCATACTTCAAACACTAGGAGGAAGGCATTAATAGAAAACATAAAGCAGTTACACTTGGTGGTAATGTTAGTCCATCTCTCTGAGGATCAGGGGTATACAATCCCATGATGTAATTTCCCCTATAATTTTTTAAGACATCATTTTAAATTTTAGGCATTGAACAAATGAGCCAGTATCAGCTGAATTAGATTTTAGTGATGGCGCTCTGAAATGGGTCCTTGTCAGGAAGTATATTATAAAGGAGTTTTCTGGACAAAGGAAAAATACACTTCTTACCTCCAACCAACAGGTAGCTGTTGGGAAACAGTGTTTTTGCTTGCATAAGTGCTCTTGCATGACCTGAGTGGAAGAGGTCAAATATTCCATCTGCATATACTCTGACAGGCCTGTCAACTGTGGAAGAAAGAAAACATCATTAACAGGACTGGAGAATGAGGAATGCCAGTTACCTTCCATCAGGACAGTGTGGTAAAAAAGTTTACCTGGATAAGACACAATCTCTGTGTACACGTACCATCAGTTTCATATTAATACCTGAAATTGATTTTAAAAAGAGGTTCTTCTAAAGACAACAAAACAGAGAAAAATCATAAACAAAATTAAGATCAAACCAGAACACACATTGTTAGCCAACGGGAAAGACAAGCTCAACCCTGGGACGTTCTTTTGACCCAGAGTGGACTCTAGATGTCTGAGCTAGCAGAGTCAGCTAGGAGGAACATCAAGGCAGGAGTAACTGAGGAGCTCAATGAAAAAGGAAAATGACTTCATCCTTAAGTCTGGAAGTCCTGAATGAAGATCCCAGGTCCTGTTTCCAAGGCAGTGATACACTGGAGTCTGCTCATATTGCTCCAAGAGATAGCTGTGTACCTTTCTTCCCAACTCTAAGTCATGTTGGTAGCCTGAAGTCAGCTATGATAGGAGTGTTTGCATCACAGAAATTGGTAACTGCTACAAATAATGGCTTATTTTCCACTAGATTGCCAGTCATTAAACATTTACCAACATACCAGCATACGAGTTCACTCCCTTAGATGCTAAGGGGGACACAGGTCCCAGAGGGAATAGAGTCAGGGTATAAATGTTGTGTGTAGGGTGGTAGTAAGCGTTATAAATGAGTAACTATAGATCTTCCTATGAAGAAAGGCCAAAAGTGAAGAGGCCACAACATATACTTAATGGTATCCAGTGCTCTGGGAAGAGCTGTTCTATGAGGATGAGGAACACGCTTCCCCCCTGGGAGCCAAGAGACTGCATTAGAAATTGCAAGATGATACTATTGCTGAGCCAGGCCAGACACATCCCCTTCAAGTCAGAGGGGGAGACAGGGGAATAGAGGTCTATCAATTTGATGGATGAAGCAAATTGGACTGATTGAAGGAAAGGGTTTGCAGTTCTATTACTCCCCTATCCTGATACTCTGGAAGATACCTGGTACATTTGTTGAAAATTCTATATATTTTGCCAACTTTTATACCTTTCTGGACTCTCAACAAAGGAAGTTGAGAAAATCCAAAAAGAGGACCTAAAAATGAATGCCAGGAAAAAGAAGTGATTTCTTTCTTTCTTTCTTTCTTTTTTTGAAAAGTTAATTCATTTCAGGTTAGTGTGAGGGTACAAACAACAAGGTGAAAATATTTGAATTTTGTTAGGTAGACTCCCTTTTGTGGTTATGTCCCACACGCAAAAGATGTGCCAAACATTCCCACGCCAAAGAAACGATTTCAGGAATATGAGGAACTGAACAGTTAAGTATGGTGAACAGAACATACACATTTATCTCCACTTTCTTCCAAAACACTAGCCAGGCTCAGGCTAGTCTGGGCAGCCCTCCTGGCCATCTTTTATTTAAAATTGACTTTTGATCATTGCCAAACCTTCAGTTTCACAAACCAGTGATTCCCTACATAGTTGCTCTGGAGAGTCCCCAGATGCTTAAAAGGATGTCCAGAAAAATCTCAAATGAAAGATTAAAATAAATTAATATCCAGACTAATTTTTTTTAATTTTATTATGGAGATTTTCAAATACACACTAAAATAGAACACTATAGATAGCCTTCTTGTGTTTGTCACTCATACCTACCAACCACTAACCTGGCCAGTTTTGCCCCATCCACTCTCTTCCTCTTAAATGATTTGAAACAAAATCCTAGACTTCCTATCATTCTCTATATATGTATAAGAAATAAGAATGCTGGTTTTATTAAACCTAACCACTGTACTATTATTTTACCTAAAAATATTCACAGTAATTCTTTAATATTATCAAATATTCAGCATTCCAATTTTCAGTTACCTTATGTCATCAGTTATAGCTTGTTTGAACCCAAATCCAAATCATACCCATACTTTACAATAGGTTTACACGTCTTTTAAGTCTCTTTCAATCCGAAGGTTCCCCTTTTATCTCTCTCTTTTTTTCTATTTGTTTCTTTTTTTTTCTTGAAGTTTATTTGTTGAAAAGATGGAGAGACCAAGTTCCTTTTTTTTCCTCTTTTGGTTCTGTAGTTTCCCACAGTCTGGGAATTGCTGACACACCACAATTTTTAAAAGTGAGCTTATTGCAAAATCAACTCCATAAATACTCTTCAAATTTACTAAATGGCCTTTTTCTCAGTAATTATGTCGTCTTTCTTTACTTTTCTTTCCTCCCTGCTTCCTGAATTCATTTATCTTGATCACCTCTGAATCAATAACAAAAAGTTCTACAAAACTGCCATCTGCTTTCCCCTGGGGTTTATATCTTAAAACAAAATTTCCTCAATTGAATTCAAATTGAATAAGAGCATTGAAACCAAGGATCCCTCATTAGACAGTTTGTTATCTCAAAGCATTTTCTATTTACTGTGCCTTATTTAGAATACAGTATAATCCTGCAAAGGCAATTCTGTTTGTTCAAAATAGTGTATAATTGGAAATAATTGCAATTCCCAATCTGACATAAAGTCTCTCAATTTTTTTAATTGAGAAATTTAATTTATTAGAAACATTGTACCATCTGAATCTATTAATGTAACATTTATCTTCCAAATTAATACAGTTGCATTGCATCAAGAAATAATCACAATTTTAAAGCTAAAGATCATTCAACAGAATTTTGCATTGATTTCTTTCTTTTAAAAATTTTTAGTTTTACAACCTTAATAGAACATGTGCATATATTTTAAGACCTGAATAGGACTCTTAGGCTTATAAAGAAAACCAGCAATCACTTGATCTACCTGCCCTACCCCAATTGTTCCCTGTAGGCACCAAATACTTGACAGTCAACTTTCTAAAATGTTGACAACTCTTATCCCTTGCCATTGCCTTTCTTGTTTTCCCTGCCCCTGGGGGGAATTATATCTTTTTAACTCTTTCTTGGTAATTTTTTGTAGTGTTTTGGAAGAAAGTGGAGATAAATGTGTATGTTCAGATTGCCCTATTTAACTGTTCAACACAGTGCCACAAAAAGGTAATTTCTTACTAGTCTTGAAAATGACCAAAACCTTCAAAAAATAATAATAATGTTTTTCTTGCTTCCTTACACAGTAGTCAAACAGCAAGATTTTTAAAAATTCCCCATGTTTTTCTGCTAAAAGGATGATGCTCCAACAAGTATTCACAGACCTTTCTTTTGCTAATCGGGTTTTATTAGTTTGTGTATTTAATGTGTGGCCCAAAACAACTTTTATTCTTCAAATGTGTGATGAGAAAAAAAATAGGTTGGACACCCCTATCTTAAGCAGTGGTTCTCAAAGTGTGGTCCCAGGACCACTAGCAGCAGCAGCAGCTGGGGATTTATTAAAAATGCAAATTCTCCACCTACACCCCAGACCTACTAACTCAGAAGTTTGCGTTTCTTTACAAGCACTCCAGGGGATCAATCCTAAGCACACCAAAGTTTGAGAACAGCTGCTCTACTAAAATAATGGTTATCAGAGTGTGGTCTAAGACTAATACGTCCCCTCCAGGTAATCAAATAACTAACTTCTTGTCCCAGTTTAACACTGGTATTAGAAATCCTAAATAAAGAAATTTCTCACAGCAGTTCCCCTATGTGCCTATTAACATCACAAAGATAACTTCCCAGAGTCATCAGATGAGATAAGAGGGGAGAAGTTCTCTTCTAAAGATCAGGGATTCGCTTTTGCTCCCTCTGTAGTGAGCTGTGTTCCACAAAGTCCACCCCATAGCTAGCTATGTCAACCATCTTATTCTAGTTTGATTCTCAGGGCTTAAACTGTTTGGCTGTTAGGCACACGTATAAGTGAACAACTTCACCCAGTTAGCTTGACACTGGCTCAAAGTATCAGAACAAACTTTCCCTGCTTCTATTTCCAGAGAGCAAACTCCTTTTCTTGTCCCAGATTTTCATGTATTCATTCATTCATTCACTCACAAAATATTTCCTGAGCACACAGTATGTGACAAGTATTTCTCTTGGTGCTGGTGAGACCTCCCTGGGTATGGCAGATCATCCAGCCATGACAGGAGATCACAACTACTACCTATGTGTTTTGTTCACATACTTTCCACCCTCCAGTCTAAAGCCTGAGCATCATGGGGTACAATGTGCTTGTAAAATAGTAGATATTTTTCTTTTTTTCTTTTTTTTTTTTTATTAAATCATAGCTGTGTACATTAATGCAATCATGGGGTACATACAATTTGAAATATTTTCATCAAACTGGTTAACATAGCCTTCACGGCATTTTCTTAGTTATTGTGTTAAGACATTTATATTCTACACCTAGTAAGTTTTATATGTACCCTTGTAAGATGCACTGTAGGTGTTGTCCCACCAATTACCCTCTCTCCACCCATCCTCCCCCCTCTCCTCCCCTCCCTTTCCCTTCTCCCCATATTCTTGGGCTATAATTGGGTTATAGTCATTACCCTTCTTTTGCTATGCTATAATCTTGAAAGGCAACTCTCCTACTGAAAGGAAGTGCTGCTCAAATAATGATGAGCCTCTCTGGTACTTTAAATGTCAAGACAGGGACCATTTGAGAAACAAGAAGTACATCCTTACCTGGTGTCCCTAAGCGGGCCTGAGCAATGGTCAGTTTTTCATGGGGTGCTTGGCATTGGCAACTGGTTTCATCTGAAAATGGGGCAGGTGTGGTCAGGGTCTAGAAGGAAAAAAGAGAAAAGGAATATAGTCTGACAAACTTTCCTTTGGCACTGACTTTCCCCAAGGTTTCATTTCTTTTGGCTACACAGGTATGATTAAGAAATACAATCTATCTGCTGAGGCCATCAGAGAAATAATGTTAGAATGTTAGGAATAAAGACAGGGCATTGTCACTGAAACTTTTTCTTTTACTGATGCTTCAGAAATAATATGAGCTGTTCAGTGTCTACCATATACCTGATGAGATACTCTGGTGTTGTCTCTTTTAGGCCGCACAACTTCCTATGCTGGATAGAAACTTCTAGAATATGGGATAATACTATCCCTACTTCATATAGAGGAAACTGAGGCTCAGCAGGGTTAAGAAATACGCTAAATCATGCCCTTGGAAAGTCACAATGCCCAGCTTTGAACATTTCACAACCAATGAGGGCAGTCTTCAAACATTCAGGCTCACCCACAACCAGGGGCCTTGGCTGGAAGGAATGCCACACTCAGAAGTGTGGCATGACAGCTCCTATATTTCACACACACTAGCCTGGCCAGTCACAAACTCTGACACGTCTTCAAGCAAAGACCAAAGCCGTTACCTGTGCCCAGAGAGGGCCTAAAAGCATATCAATTTGGGCAGGCTGCAGATAACTATTCCTGTGCTGGCTTTAACAGCCACCAAATGGCTGGAGGCCCCACCTCAAGGCAGCTTGGACCGGGGCTCTGGGGAACACTGTAAAAAAGATGTAGTCACTTGCAAGCCTTCTCAGAAGTGCATTTTTTAGTCAGCCTTTCAAAAATGAAAATCCTATTCTCTCCAGGCAGAGGAAGACAAAGTGAGTGGGGTTTTTATAAATAAGGCAAATGCAATCCAGAGCTGTCCATTTGTAGTTTTTGAATTATGCTATTACCACAGTCACCACTATATCATCTTTGTTATTTTTAAAGCTGAAGTTGACTAGTCACTGCAAACATTACTCACAGGGCTATAGGAATTCTTAGAGGTGGGGACAGGTGTTCCTTAATTTGGGAAGACTAGACTGAAGAATGCTCCACACATTTGAACAAGGGCCGTGACCCACTTCTGCCATTTGCTTATTCATTCACACTCACTCATATAATATATTTCAGGCATTATCTTGGAACCTGGGAATAGAAGTAGGGATTTAGGACCAATCCCTACCCTGGAAGAGCCCCAATTCCCTATAGTGATGCCACCTGATCCCTGCTCTGCTCCATCCTCTCTCCCATTGCACACCTTCCATCATGGAAGCTGGAGTCCTGCCCCAGTTTTGTTTGGAGGTTTCTCCATTGTCTGAGGCTTTCTTAGCCCCCACCCTCTCCTTCAGGGCCCTAGAAGCAAATCAAGACTTGGGATAAGGATTGAAGAAACTTTAGTCCATTATTGGTTCTTTTTCAGATGCATCAAGGTGACCTCATGCTATGGTGATCCAGAGCAGAATTCATAATATGGCAAAGGGGTACAGTGACAAGAGTAGAAACTCTGGAGTCACAAAGCCAGCATTCAAACTCCCTTTCCAGCACTTACTGGTTGTGTATTCTAATTTGGCTCTTCTGGTAGAAAGAAACTGACTCTCACTAAAGTTAGTTCAAGGGATGAAGGATTTATTGTAAGGGTACCCTGGCACAAAAACTGTGGAAAAGGAGGAAAGGGACAGAGCATTGCCCCAGAGTGCTTGCTCTGTAGCAACTTGGCTGCTCTCTGTGTGTGATTATTTCTATCCTACCCCATTTACCCAAGTTCCTTCCACTCCCCTCAAATTTCAGCTTGAATATGGCCCATCATGGCCTCCTCAGCCTCTCTTCACAATACTCATTTAACAACTTCTTCTTCTTCTTCTTTTTTTTTTTTTTTTTTTGCAGTTTTTGGCCAGGGCTGGGTTTGAACCTACTACCTCTGGCATATGGGGCTGGTGCCCTACCCCTTTGAGCCACAGGCGCTGCCCACATTTAATAACTTCTGATTGTGCCTTTTGGCAGCAGCTCCTACTCCTACCAACTTGCTGCTTCTTGCCATGTTTCCCAATTCAGATTTCTAAGGGAGAGTCAAGATTGGTCAAGCTCTCTTTCAAACCAGGCCACAACCAGGATTGGCTGGTGTTAGGGCAGGTGCCCACCTTGGGGTCCAACAGATGTGGTGATGGAAGTCACGAGTGGCCTGTCATTGACACTGTAGCAGGAGCTATGCTTGGGGCAAGAAATAAATTTGACTTTGTGCGCTTAAAGCAAGTTCCTTAACTTATTTGAACCTCCATTACAACTGTAAAATGGATGACTATCTTGCAGGGCTGTTGTGAAAAACAGAGATAATATGTGTAATGTACCTGCTACTCAATAAATTATAGGTTTTATTACTGCTATTGTTATTCACTATTATATATTCTAATACATAATACTACATATTATGATATAATAGATAATGTGGCTTTCCATAGAAACAAATTGACTCATGAATGGACTTTTAGGAACAACCCAAATAAGTAAATGGGTTGGCAAATGGGATTAGTTTATGTTAAATAATTCATTGCCTTTTAATCTATATAGACAGTGAACTTTTAACATAATATAAAACAAATTACTATTTGGAGATCATCTATGCGCTATTCAAAAAGTTTATAAAGAAATATGGTGTTGCCATTTTCCAAGAAAAGTGTATTCCAGAGAGTGTGAAATCTGGTAATTAAAGCAGAGATAAAGTTGTAAAGCAACAATTGTTACTCAAAGGTGAAGAAAAGGTTTATAAGCTCTGTGCTTTTTGCGCTTAATTATTATGGCCTAGAAGTAGAAAAGACCAAAGAGAACCAAAGAGATGGAAAGCAGAGAAAATTCCTAAGTGCACAAGCGTGCTTGTGTGTGCATGTATATACATGTGACTGTCTTTAACAGCAGTTGACATACAGGAGTATTTCTTGTTATGTACAAGGCACTGTGCTTGGAATGGGGAGAATGCAAAAATAAATGAGCCACAGCCTTGCCCTCCAGAGCAGTGCCTTCCAAAGCAAGGCAGGAAAGGGTCAACCTTGGTATTCAGGAAGACCCTGCTTAAAGTCCAAATACCACCAACCAGCCCTGTGATCTGAGGCAATATTTTTTTTCAGCCTGGACACCCCAGATTACAATTTAAAAAGCCTCCTTCTTTGGGCGGTGCCTGTGGCTCAAAGGAGTAGGGCACCGGCCCCATATGCCAGAGGTGGTGGGTTCAAACCCAGCCCTGGCAAAAAAAAACTGAAAAAAAAAAAGCCTCCTTCTTCTCAGAGCCAAAAAAATCATTTGATTTATAAGGAATTCTAGGCTCGGCGCCTATAGCTCAACCGGCTAAGGCACCAGCCACGTACACCTACGGTGGCGGGTTCGAATCCCCAGCCCGGACCCGCCAAACAACAATGACGGCTGCAACCAAAAAA